GATGAGCTTTGTAAAAATCGACGCATTTCAGAAAGGCAATAATGAAGAGAAACAATAATGTACAGTATGTGGAAAATAATGTTTTTTTTTAACCTTAAACCGCATAAACACATTTCATTACACCAAATACACAAAATAATGTTCTTTTTAGCAACATCATATGACCCCTTTAAAATGTAACATTTTATTATTTTTTATATTTTACTTACATTTTTTTTTATTATATGAAAATTCACGTATTTTCTTTTTTATAATATGTAGAGAAATCCCAGGCTGCACTTGGATGTAGACATGTTATCTGTGGTTTCTCTTTGCAAATAAACTGGGTTTACTAACTTGATAAAGTGTCTTTTATCTGTAGGTGGAGGAGAGGAGCAGGCCGCTGCTGCTACAGTGTGCGCTCTCTTGTGCATGCAGCTCGGGGGCGGAGTTGAAGGTGAGGAGGGCTTCAAGATGCTCCGCCCCATCCTCAGCTCCATCTTGATTGACAGTTGTGCCAGCCTGTCAGCTCGACAGAGTGTGAGTTGATGCCTCAATATACGTCTATAAACTTTTATTTGTTCGATTACATAAACATTTAAAATGGGATTGTTTACTTATATCTCCACCTTTTGTCAGTGCGCTCGAGCTCTGGGTATGTGCTGCTACGTGTCTGCCTCAGATGATGCAGAGGTATGATCAGATCTTGTAAAATGCATATGAATATTTATAGATCCGCATGTTTGTAGAAGTATCATCTGTCTTTTCCTCCTGTCTTTTTCAGGACCTGCTAAAATCTCTTGGTCATTTGGAGAGTGTGTTTATGGGTGCATATCCCCTGGGTGATGGCACTCTGCCCTCTGTCAAAGCCGGGACCCCTGCACTCCACAGCGCCGCCCTGCAGTCGTGGGCTCTGCTCTGCACCCTCTGCACTGCGTCACGCATTAACACCATTCTCAACCAGTGAGTTTGAATCGCAAGAGAACACATCTTTGCACAAACTCAAACTCTACCAAAAACTCACTGCACCTAAAAAAAAAGTACAGAAAGTGTAGGTGCATAAGCCACAATAGTCCAAATTGTGCAAAAAAAGGGTCTGCACACTATAAAGGTGATAAAGGACAACAAAAAAGCAAATGCAAGATAAACACACATTTACCGAGGAACGGCCAATACTTGTTTTGATAATGCTTGGACCCACAAATCTACCCATACCTCCTTGCTGAACTTTAGTAACAAAAAGAACTTAAACAACAACAAAAAAAACTTTTTCTATGCTCTCACTATTTTTTATATCCTTCCTTGTTATAGCTTATACTATTGTACTATGACTTTAAATTGCCAGCACCTCTCGTGGTATTGGATGAATCACTCAAGATGAGTCACTTTTTTATTTCTCATTTGTAAGTAGCTTTTATAATTTTATAATTAGGCACTGAAGAATGTCATGTTGTGGTTATTTCACATTTGATTTTTTCTTGTCTTTTTCACCCTTATAGTGAATGGGCTTGCAACTTTTTGCCTTTGTTTTTACAAAGCCACAATCCAAAACAGTTCTGATATCTAAGCCACAGTGAATACAGAAGACATTATAATATTTTTATGTATTGCTTTCATCAGGGTGAAAAAAAAGCCATGTGACAACACCCAGATTGAATAGATAGACTTGTTTGTCTGTAAAATGATCTTTGTCTTTGTCTGTCTTTTAGCCACTTGCCACATCTACATGCGTGTTTAGAAAGCAGTGAGGTGAACTTCAGGATTGCTGTGGGGGAGACCATTGCTCTGCTGTATGAACTGGGACGGGACATCGATCAGGTGTGTGTTGTGTAAGGGTGAATAAGTTTGCATGTCAAGAAGATGGCAGTGTACATAATGTGTGTTGTGTTTCAGGAGTTTGAGTATGAGGACTGCAATGCATTGTGTGACAGTCTAAAGAGCCTAGCAACTGATGGAAATAAACATCGTGCTAAAAATGACCGCAGGAAACAGCGCTCAATCTTCAGAGAGGTGCTGCACTACATTGAGGTGAAAGGAGAACCACAACTCATGCCTTTTTATTTTTAAATAACATGTCATTAAATTACATCCAAATATTTTATAGCAACTTTGCATGCAGGGCTAATAAGCCAAGTTGATCCAGGACTGTCTTAGATGGTTATGGTTTTAAGATTTACCGACATCAGACCAAACATTCCTTCCTATTTTCAGAATGAAGATTTCACAGAGGAGAAGATCCAGTTTGGGATTGAGGTCATCTACATTGATGGCTGGATGCGCCGCAAGATTTATGATGCCTTTAAGGAAGTGCTCGAGTCTGGAGTCAGACACCACCTACAGGTGAGGAGGACCAATTGCAGCTCACTGTTGGCATCATGCTTGGCATAAATAACACTGTGTAGTACTAGAGAAAAATGTTGATTAAAATCTTTCTAAATGAATAAATATTGAATGAAATCAGAATTGAAATGCAAGCTTCTGATTCTAATTAAAACAAATCAGAAATTCAGTGCTTTGTAGTGAAAGTTTCTGTATATACTGTATTAAGTTTTGGTATTTCAAGAGCTGAATGTTCAGGGATCCTACTTTATTTAACCAATGATTTAATGTGATGTTTGTGATTTACTGGTTAAGGGTTTTAAAAGTTTTTCACTCTCAATTTCTACTCTAACACAATTTACAGCTTGTCATTACTAGAAAAATATATATTCTTTATAAAATACCTATGGCATTTTAAAATTCTGTTAATTTTCGTGACATTTCCAGGACTACAAATCAAATTTATTCATAATTAGGCTACCTCATATATCAAGGTTTTTGTAGACCATTTTTGTAGAGTTTTTAGTTTTTGTGACTTATTTTAATGCTTTTAGCTTGTTTTAAATAATTTAAAGTCATCTTGAGGCTCCCATTGAGGTTTCTTGAGCTCCCCCATACAGGCCCCAACCCCATGTTTGAGAACCACTGCTCTGTAAGGTTTGTTATAATGAGTTTTTGTGTCTGTTTGTGTAGTTTAATCCTTTATTAAGGGATATTTTTGGACTCGGACCTCCTCTCATCCTGGATGCGTCTGTCAAAGCCAGCAGGATCTCCCGCACAGAGAGGGTAATCTTGAACCTTTTCGCTTATAATAAATAACGAAAGGTGACACTGACATAACAAGAAGTCTTAGTTTGCAGAGTGAAGTCAGATTCAATTGATTTTGGGAGCTGTCTGCCAAAAAATGCAAATAAAATCAGCACTATTTTTTCGTTAAGGTTTTGTGTGTATATTTATGCAACTTTGGTTTGTCTCTTCACAGCATCTGTTTAACTCTGCTGCATTCAAAGCTCGGACTAAATTAAGGAACAAAGTGAGGGACAAACGTGCCGACGTGATGTGAGGATGAAGGCGACAAAGAGAGAAACACTACATCCTTAAAATCCCCTCGGCTCACTTGAAATTATAGTTTGACATACTGCCAAGCCAGAGACTTGACAATGGACATGCGTGACTGTCTGAGTGTGAAAGGCTGGGTGTGTGCACGTGTGTATGTGGTGTTGTGTTTTTATTTAACATCACAGTGTGAAAGCTAGGAATCCTACAATTAAACAAACATGAAATATTGTATCTTTATAACAACCTCTTGTAAGGCTGTATTCAGCTTTTCTGTTGAAACCTGTTTTACCTCCTCAAGTGTTTTTGGGACAAAAGAGAATTTTTATCATTGAAACATGAACTTTTTACAGCTCTGCTACAAACAAAGAGGCCAAGAAACGTAATTTTTTTTTTAGTTTTTCTATATCCATTTATATAAATGGATTATGCATTCTGATGATGCAAACAAATGAAAATTCATCTTTGACTGCAGGTTGCCAGAGTTAGTGTAGACTGTTTTGTTAAACCTCTCTCACTGCCACTAAATAAACCATATTTCACATCTTAATTCTACTCATCTTCTGAAAAGGGGTTTCAGAAGATGAGTAGAATTAAGATGTGAAACGTTGTTGTTTTTTATTTTTATTTTTTATTTTTTTGGGTCAGTGTGATGAAGTCAAATAAGGTTCTTGCATCATTGTACCCTCACCACAAGCTCATGTCTGCCCATTTAGATCATGCTTTCAACATTTCTTTTGAATTTCTTTCTAAATATCAAAAACCAGCATGTCATAAGTTTTCTTTGACGCAAAAGTACTGTATGCAGCAGCAGGATTTTGGAAGAGAAAACACAAAATAAATTATGTAATTATCCTTAACAGTGTTGGGAGTCTTTTTGACAGGCGCGGATGTATTTGTAGTAAGAGAAAAAAAAATTGTGAAGAAAGTGTGTGATGACTAGAATTGCTCTACAAATCTTATCAGCCTGGGTATTTAATTACATATTAAAATGTGTTGTTTGATACAGTCAGTTTAAACGTATACATTTATTGTTCGTTTGCTATTATATTTCATTTTAAGTAACTATCATTAGGGTCATGCACATGTTTTGTAACTCTTATTTTGAAAAGCTTTTTACGCGTCTCTTTCATGGGTACTCTCGCGAGATTTTAGACGTAGTAGACTCATAACAAGTTTGGCTTAAATGTTCAGCCATACAAGTCAACATACAAAGGTGAATTCTAACATTTCTGCATACTTAGCAATAAAGGTAGATCTATCAACTCATATTGTGTCACGAATGAACAAGCAAGGTTACCAAAATAGAGTTTATAACGCTACAGGTGAGTGACCGTTTGATGCAGCGGCAAGACGCGACCAGCTGCAGACCTGCAAATCGGCCTGTGCCTGGAAGAGTCCGTCAATGGATCAGCTGTTATTTCAGCGCGTTTCTTTTGTAATGGATTAATTGTCCCTCCCCCGTATTATATTTTGGTCCTGGCCATATAATGACATGAATTTTGCTTTAAATTACACTGTAAGATTTTGACATTGTACCTAAAAATTCAAAGCACTTGTCTGAAATGCCCATCAGGAGACACATCAAGGTTTTTTAAGGTGTTAATGTTTTTTCCTTTGTATTTCATAGCTACACAAAACTATTTTGCGAGGAGAGGAGCAGCCAGCTCTCCAGAAATGTAAGGACTGTTGTTCCTTGTACCACTGTCCTTTCTGTTTGCCTGAGATGTTCAAACCCACCATCAAAAGCAAATGTTTGAAACATTTACTGGGTCACAGAAGAAGAGCAATACGGCACAAGGGCAAGTACTAAATAATGCGTTTAAGAAATTACAAGCATTTAAATGTATATATTTTACTTGAAATGAGGTCATAGGAATAAATTAATATTCTGTTCCTTCAAGTATTAAAATCTACTGAAGCATAGAATTTTATAGAAGCATAAGTAAATCTTAGTATTACATGGATCTCTAACGGAGGACTCTTTTGCTTTTTACTCATTTTTTTCACTAGAGTTCTTCATTTTTAAATGTCGTTTAAAGTGTGGTTTTATGGTATATTCACTATTTACTTAGTTTAGTTATATGAAGACTTCATGGTGCTTGCTTCTCAACTCTCTTTCTCTGTATGTTGGAGTCAGTGTGATTTGGAGAGGGGTGAAACTGTGTTTCTCTCAGAGATGGACTCTACTGTGTAAACATGACAAAATTGAGCATGTGCTGCCGTCTGGAACAAGCTTGCATATAGAGAAAGAGTAAGAGATATATAAACAATATGCAGATATTCATGAATCCTCAAGAGATAAAAAGAAAGACTACAAGTAAACAACTCGGAGGAAGCAGGACGTCAGTACTTGGAGGTAATGGCTAATGTCTTGGATTTTTAAATACTGAATTATTAAAGTATGATTCTTAATCCTCGTTTTTTCATTTGGTAGGTTTGGGGCCAAAATGGTCTGGAGAAACGTTTGGACCTTACAGCTCTAAATAAACATGGAAAAGTGTACGAAGATGGTAAGAAACACTTCTTGTTGTCTGAAAAAATGTATCACAGTTTCCACAAAAATATTAAGCAGAGTAACTGTTTTCAAAATTCATAACACTATGAAATGTTTCTAGAGCACCAAATCAGCATACAGTATTAGAATGTTTTCTGAAATATCATGTGACACTGAAGAAAAGACTAAAGTAATGGCTACTGAAAATTCAGCTTCGCCATCAAAAGATAACTTACATTTTGAAATTGAAAACAGTTATTTTAAATGGTAATAATATTTCGCAATATTACTGTTTTACTGTATTTTTGATCAAATAAATGCAAAGCTGGTAAACATGAGAGACTTATTTCAAAAATATTTACAAATGTTACCGACCCCAAACTTTTGAATGATACAGTAGTGCAGTTCAAGATACACATTTATACTGAGCCATTCTGTAATTTGGAAACTATTGATTCATGTCAGTAGCCAGTGGCTCTTTGGTCTTTTTTTCAGTCTGGACTCTGGAGCTCTGATCAGAGTTTAAGGATATCTATCTGATTGTGTGTACTTTGTTTCTTTGTTTATCATTAGATCAGTTTAGCTTGACAATGAGAGACAGGAGAGTATCACCTCATCAGGGTCTGGAGCTCTACAGAGCACTCAAGAGCAGGAGCACACCTGTCAGGTACACACACTAACAAACAAACACCTTCATTTAGTAAACACCCATATTATACTGATATTATTAGTCACTAGGATGATTAAATTTGGCCATTTTGAGATTGCTGATATTGGCCATTAATGGCATCTACAACAACCTTGTCAATGGATAATAACCTGTTTCTTTTTGCAGAATATTATACAGTTTGGGATTTTTTACAGTTTTTTTTATGATTATTATTATTTTTGTTTTTTATGAAGAAGTCGACTATGCTCACCAAGGCTGCATTTATTTGATTGAAAATACAATTAAAACATTTTGAAATATTTGTACAAATTAAACTAACTGTGTTCTATTTTAATATATTCTAAAATATAATTTATTCCTGTTATGATAGCTGAATTTTCAACAGCCATTACTTCAGTCTTCTGTCACATGATCATTCTATGTGGTTGATTTGGTGCCAGAGAAACATTTGTTATTATCAATGCTGAAAACAGTTGTGCTGCTTAATATTTTTGTGGAAACCGTGATACTTTTTTTTTTCTTTTTAAGATTTTGTGATGAATAGATAGTTTAAAAGAACAGCATTTATTTGAAATAGAAATATTTTGTAACATTAGAAATTTTTTTTTTTTTATCAAGTGAATGCATCCTTGCTGAATAAAGGTATTACTTAAAAAAAAAGATCTTACTGACCCCAAACGTATGAAACTGTATGTTGTTTTAGTACATTTTCAGTTAAATATTGAATTCATTTGGCAGTGTTTGTCCTTGGCTTTTGAAACACCCACTGCAATCAACCACTAATCACTCACTATTCTGAAGTCTGCTCTTTCTTTTTTCCTGTCTTTATCACACACACTCTCTCGTTCTCTCTCTTTGTCTGTCTCTCAGGTTATTGTGGTACAGTGATGAGGGTCATTCGCTGTCTAAAGTCAACACTCAGTCTGACTGCTTCCTCAACATCGTTCTGTGGTTTAAAGAACATTTAAACTGACACGACATGAATATGAAAATATTTATCAGATGTTTTTTTGTCTGCACATATTGTGTTTGACATTCTTGCCAAAACTGTAAATGTCCATAAATGTTGCAGTGAAGCTGAAGTTACAGGTTATGCAGGTCATTCTCCACTAGGGGACAGACCTGTCCATGTTAAATCAGCACTGCTATAATAAGGGGCCAAATGCCAAAGGATGAAGTGATTGTGTTTAGAAATCAGAGCTCATGTACTGTGTGATCTTTTTAGAGTCAATATCTGAACATTCACACTCTTTTGTGAGATGTTTGCTCTTCACTATGTTTTTAATGGACGGTAATGGTCTTGCCAATATTTTTTAGATCAAATCTATTTAACTTTAAATACAAATACATGGTGATTGTAGATTTAAATTAGTTTGATTATGAAAAAAGTACATTTAGGGTGGAAAGTAGAAGAGAAGAACAAAAACCTATTTTCTAGTTTCTGAAAAATATCGAGTGATCTTCAACATTCCATAAACCTGATACGAGTCAGAAATGTGTGACATTAATTTTGGCCAATGTTTATGCACTTAGATCCAAGGTGTGCATGCTAGCTTTGGTGGCAGCTGTACCAGCTCACATGTCTAAGACTCTTGTGTCCATTTCACTTACAGCCGCTTAAGAAAGGTATTTACCTCAAAGATTTCTTTGTTTCATTGTTTATAGCAACATTTTTGTCCTTACACTTAATCTCCAAATCCTCTTTGACAGATTCATTCAGCTCTTGTGTTTCTATCATGAACTTTTGGTTTGCCATTTGTGGCATGTTGAGCACCAGCCAGCTTTATGTTAGTGTTTTATGGCCAATTGCAGCATGTGGATTTTTGAATATTCTGGCAGTCTCAGGGGGCAGATTGCTTTATACCCTGTTAAGATTGCATTGCTAATGACCCACAGAGAAAGAAGTAGAACACAACAGGTCACCCGAGACCACTGCCACTATGTGTGTGTGTTTAAGAGAGAAAGAAAGAAAGAAAGGTCTGTATTATTCACCCTTTGATTGGGTTTGGTGTAGGTGTCTGGGTCTTAGGCAGATCAAATATCATGAAAAGTCTTTACTCTCTGTCTCAGTTTGCCTAGATGCTGGATGACATGTTCATAAAGGAAGATTAAAGAGTGAGGCAGAATTTGAGAATAAACACAAACACCCAAAAAACAGAAAATCATTGCCAGGGGGTGAAAAGCAGATGAAAAGCAGAAGCAGATAGGGAGAAAAATCTGAGTAGGTTTAAGGTCACACTGGGGTAAAATGAGCCACAGCTTCGTTGGTGCGCTCATGAGCTGTGATGTGACACATTAAACGAAAACACAAAAGTTATCTGATGGCTCAAGCATGTTTTCCGCCAGAATGCTGGGAGTTGGGTAAGATCCAGTAGGCCTGGGGTACATTGAATCAACGGCCATAAATATGACACAGCTTGAAGCAGTGAATCTATTTGAGTTGGCAAAATAATACAGTATAAATTAAACCCTTCAGACATCTTTGTTATACTTTGGTTCATGTTGCCTCAGTTGCTGTTGGACATTACAAGTCTTATATAAGTTGCTTTCTTCAAACTGATAAACAGCTCTGCTCTGTTTTGTTTTGTTTTCACCTATTAAACAGAAAAAGGAAACAACACAAACTGGCTCACCTTACCACAGGCCCAAAGTTGTGCTAAACCAGGGTGTTGCTTTGGGTAGTGGTCAGTGTCCATCCAAACGGGTGCCCAGCCAAAAAAAAAACAAGTCAAATTTAATTCTTAGCATAGATTTTCACATATGTCTTTTTATTGATTTATTGGCTGTTAGATCATTTATTGGACTATATGTATGTGCTTGGCCCTGCATTGTTTCAATAGGATGTCTGTCATTGTCCATCATATATAGACTAGTTTCTAGGTCATTTCAGTGCCACCGGTGCCAAAAGACTTTTTTATGTCTGAAATATTAAACAATGAGCTATGTGTTATTGTAGTATTATTTATATATTATAGTAGTATTATTTATATATTATAGTATTTATTATATATTATAGTATTTATTATTTAGTATTTGGGAAGTCGTGGCCTAATGGTTAGAGAGTCGGACTCATAACCCAAAGGTTGTGGGTTCGAGTCTCGTACCTAATTCCGAGTATGGGTCACCATAATTGGCCACATGTAACGTCACTTTTTCACTTTCACTTTATATTTTGAATTAGTTTTATATTTTCAGTTTTCATTTTAATTTTAGTAATTTTATGTTTTTGCAATTTTTTTTGTTTTTGTTATTTCAAATATTTATATATTAAATAAATATTAAATAAATATTTTTAGTTTTTACTTTCACACTTGGTTCGTTTGCCTGGTCCGAGCCTGAATTCGATTGCTCCCCCTCCTACTGCCCCCGCTAGTTTGTGGTGTTCATATTGTGTTTTTTGGATTCCGAACCACGGTATGTTTGCGTCATCAGAGTGGCAGCTGTTTACCCCTGTTACTAGGTAACGACTATATAGGTTCGAACGAACGCGGGAATCACTTTCTGCGAGCAGAAGCGAGATAAATTCTCTCTGCTGCAGCGCGTCAGTTTTTCAGGAAAGCGACCGAGTAAACATAAATACGCAGTTTGGCCATTTAATGCATCATTAATAGCGGTTTACTTCCGCGATTTGGTGCGATTGCGTTCATATCAGCAGCAAATTGTACCGGGGTTCACTTGAACTGTACCCCAAGTGGACTCGGGGTGTATTCACACCAGGAAAGTCTGCTAGTTCACTTTCTTTGGTCCGGACCATTTTTTTTGTTTGGTGTAGTTTGCTTTCACACTGCCCTTTTTGCAAGTGAACCAGTAATTGTAAACAAAGCCACACGTGTGCTAAGGTCATCCATTAATTGGACAGAAATTCTCAAGCGTACCAGAGTTCGTTTGGAACCGGACCGAGACCACCTCTTCAGCTGGGTCTCGGTGCGGTTGTTTGGTCCACACCCGAGTGCGATTACTGTAGGGCAGCGGGAAGTTCGGGGAGGAGTTATATGAAACGTAGTTTGCAGACCAGTATCGCCAAATCCGCGATTGCCGCCGGTTGTTTTTCATGTCAGCAGGTTGAAGCGACCCCAATAACGTGATATTTAGGCCCTGGAATGTGAATTGTGGAAATTTGTATTTTACCCCCGAACACGATTTTTACTGGGGGACCCCCTCGAAAGCAATTGGGCTATTTTCAGGCTAGTTTTGAGTAGTAATTGGGCGGGTTTTGTAGCGAAAACCTGGCAACCCTGCACCAGACAGAGCTGTCGGCGATTCTTCCTATTGTAAAGTCATGTAGTGTGTAACCTCCTGTCGTCGTTCCATCGTGCAGTGTGAACACAGCAACAACTGAATGCTACCCCAGATAGTCGTTCAGTGTGAAACCAACAGTGATGCGACGTCTTTGAAAATCATGCAGTGTGAACTCGGCATTAGTAATTTCAGGGTGCTTTCACACCTGTAGATCGATTGCTTTGTTCTGAAACGGGGATTAAAATTATTACAATGTTGCTTTTTATTCTTGGTGCGGTTTGCTTTCACACGGCAAAGTTTCTAAACGGATCAAATTTGTTAATACAAGTCACGCCTGAGTAAACTGTTGTCTCATTGGTCAAAGTTCCACGATTTATTTTCCGGGATTCCACTAATCATGGCTGTCATCCGTCAGGATGGAACGACAACAGCTTTTTTTTTTGTAGCTGTCCTTATATTAATTTATCACTTTGAGCAGGAGTCCAGGATTCATCGGGAAAACATTTTTAAAATGCACCTA